ACTAAACAAAGTGGTGGAAAGGGCCACTGTCATTTTCAGGAACTGTAGAAAGATGGGGAAAATTAGAGTCACATTTGCAAATGAATCAAATTTACAAATTTGAGAAAGACATCATGACAGACCCTGAAGCAAAAAAAAAAAAAAAAAAGGACAGTAAATAGTAATGGGGAGTTCAGGGTTAGCAAGATGATTAAAGGGCCACTGTCAAGGCACATTCCAAGGCAGTTCCAATTATTACTTTTCTGATGAAAAAAAAAATAATATATCATACTTTCCACAGAATATTTCATTCAATGCATCACATCCTAGGCATTGAGTTATATTAACTGAACAAACATTTAAATTATGGAGGGTGAATTGCTGCAAAAGGGAGGAACTGAGAACCACAACAAATCTGTCATTGCTTTGTTAAGTTTGTTTGAACCACCTACTCAAGTGTTTTATTCAAACCCAAAATGAGAGGCACAGAAGCAGCTCCTAAGTCTGTCAAACACGCCTTCTCTCTTCATTTCTCTTTCCTTCTTTGAGAGAAGAGCCCACAAGCATGCACGATTATCTTTATCAAGAAAAAAGTTTTTCCTAGTATCTTAGGAGAAGGCCTTCAGCAAGTATTAGTCTCCAGGGCTCCATGAGCAGAGTCCTGGGTATGTCTTAGGCAACCGTTAAATGCTTATCAAATAAATCAGTAATGAAAAGAATAAATGGGAAACATCTCTCAGTCTCTACTGTGGACATAGGAATTACAGGCTGCACTGGACAAGGCAGAGCAATGTTAGGAAAAGAAGAAACTACCCCTAGGCAAATACTCCCACTTTTTCTCAGAGAGCAGTCCCTTCCTTAAAATGGCTTGAACCTTAAAAAGGTGATGATCTCCCCAGAGGCATACTATAAGGGGAACTGGGAGATAGTTTCTCATAAAAGGATCTACCAAGGAATTTTAGGGGAAAGAAAGGAATGGTAGGCAGAAAAGATAGTCACATCCTAGTTCCCAGAAGCTGTCAATGTTAGATATGCCAAGGGAGAATTATAGCTGCAAATAGAATTTCTATTGTTCATAGGTTGTGCCTGAGATGAGGAGATAATGTTGGATTTCCCAAGTGGGCCCTTTGTAATCACAAGAATCCTTAGAGTGAGGCAAGAGAAAAGTTCAAAGCCTGATTTGGGAAGGACTTGACCCATAGTTGCTGGATTGAACATAGTGAATGGGATATCAGGTTAGGAATGTGGGTAGCTTCTCGATGCATTAAGCAAGAAAGTGGGTTTTCTTCTAGGGTTACACAAAGAAAGCCTTGCTAACAGTTTGATGTTAACCCAATGAGACTCATTTTGAACATACAATCTCTGGAACTGTAAGATAATCAATTTATGCTGTGTTGATAATCAATTTATGCTTGTTTGTTATGCTACCAAACAAGTGACGGTTTGTTTCAGTTGCCATAGGAAACGGTGAGTGAAAAAGAGGGAAGGGCTGGAGAAGCAGTGTGAGTGGTTTTGCCATTTCCAGCCATGGGAACTTAGGAACTTAATTTCAGGTCGCTGAGTCTTCATAATCCTCAATACAATAGTGGGTTAAAACTAGGGAACCTCAAAGGCTACTATTGATACTTTTATCATTGCTGTCTTCATTTCTTTCCTCCTTACCTTTTAGGGTTATTGGGTGCCAGGATGTCATGTAAGAGAAATAAAATGAATGACAATTAACAGTTAAGTCTGAGGGATCTATGACAGGGAACACCAGTTCTGTAATCTCTCTAAGATTTCATGAAATGAAGACTTGTAGAACTTTATTGCTTGTTTCCCAGGGAGAGAAAGAAGGAAAATAAGGGGGTGGAGTGCCAAGAATAGGAGAAATTTAAGTGGCAGAGAAAAAGAAAAGATAACAGAGTGTGGGAACCAGGCAGGAAGCAAATCAGGTGGGATTTGCCCTGCAAGGAGATTCTTTTCTACTCAAATGAGGGAAACTTAAAAATTGGTTGACTGTTCCTCATTCTATACTGTCTAGTTTCCATGGCATCCTTGTCTTCAGTTTAAGCATGATATTAGACCACGCTAATACACAAAATCCATGAATTTGTCAAAGGTAGAGATCATGTATCTTAGAGATGGTAAGGAAAGAGAGAAACATACATTTATGCCAGACTTCAAAGGTTAAGATGGATTTTTAAGAGCACTGGAAGCTAGGAATCTCCTGAAAGGACACAAAATCAGTAATGCAAAAAGAAACCTGCACTCCTATGTTCATTGCAGCACTATTTACAATAGCTGAGATATGAAAATGACCTAAATCTCCAAAATAGGTGACTCTATCAAAAAGCTGTAGTATATATACAGAATGGAATACTACTCAGCAATCAAAAAAGATAAACTCATGCCATTCACAGCAACATGGATGGAGCTGGAAGGGGTTATGCTTGTGAAATAAGTCAGAAGGAAAAAGAAAAACATTAAATGATTTTGCTTTTAGGAGTTTAGTAGGGAAACCAAACAAGGGATAGGAAAGGGGAAAAAAGAGAGAGAGAGAAAAAAAACTAGCAGGTAAACTATAAATCAGAAACATACAGCAGGGGAGGGAAAGGCACAAGAGACTACGGTGATGGTTAACAGGTGACTTGGTGGGAATTTTATGGGGATTACATCTAAGAGGAAAAATCAAACATTATACAAAAATGAACAAAGATGTAAGATATATATATTTAGGGCCTACCCAGTGCTTCAGGGGCTACCATCAGCATTATCAAACGATCTGCAGCCACTTCAACATGAGTTTGATCCCTTGCTAGGTAGGTAACCTACATGGTGAGGCAGTCCACTCCTGTCTTACCTGCTGCC